CTGAAAATTATATTTATATATAAATATGCATTTTTAAAAGCGATGTTAGAGAATATATATTTTTTTTTATATAATTATCAGCTTATACGATAATACCTTTATGCCTTACAACACTTGGACTTGCTAGAGAGAATGGTACGTCAGAACAGATATTCCAAAAAATTGCGAAAATACGAAAGATGAGAAAGAAAAAGAAAAAGAAAATAAATCAGTATAATACTTCCAGAACACATGTGGATCTTTTCACATGAAATATAATTTTCATTAAAAGAAGAATAGCCTTGGAATTAATACGTAAGCATGAATGCATGTTATTCAGATGGGACTGAGGTTCCTGACAACTGGCAAGACCTGGCGTAGTACACTAATGGGCGCAGACACTTGACTTGGTTTCGTAATGCATGACGGTGTAAAAATCCTTGGACGTCTACAGCATATTACCATGAAACACGCCAGTTCCAACACTTTACAACTCTCTTAAAAGGTTGAAAGCCATTGGTATAAGTTTCGTTGGTACGAACGATATTATTGGTATCAAAACTATTACTAAAATCCATTAGTATTTCCATGCACTATACAAACATATTGCCTTTTGGCGGGCATACCACAGTTACTGTTACATTCATGCTTTTACTTTTCTGCTTGATATTTTTTGTTCCTTCTTTCCGCGCTTGTTGTTGCTCAACTTATTGAAGTTTTTTTATTTTTCTATTTTATTGATGTTAACCACAATGGACATTTTCTTCAGAAGAGGAACGGTTTTCACTTGCTAACAAATGAGTATACCGACCTTTCTGTCACACAACTTCCTATTTTCAGAAATCCGTAATCGTATTTCGAAAATTCCACATATCAATTCACACTTTTACTTCCCTTTTCTATCATCAAGATGTCAACCACCGTAGTTATGATTTTTTTTTAAAGCAGATTTTTTTTTAAACCAAGATGGATGTGCATTTTGCTCTATGGAATCCTTAAACAGGGGATGTAAAAAAATTGGATTGGATTGGATTAGCGCGTTATATAAGGTCAACCTGGAGACTAAAGTAATTTTTCTCCAATGCACACTTTTATGGTGTCAGTGACCAAGTATATGTGTCTACTGTTACCGTTCTTATCTTTGACACCATAGTACAGTGCAAACACCTTCTCATGGGGCAGTAGTAGGATATTACTTCATAAATGAAAAACAGTATGAGAGATGAAAACAAAAATTAAAGAAAAAGGTGTGTGTGTGCTACTATTAATTAAATATGATTGATGATGTCCATGGAGCTAATATGATCCTAGTGGCACAGTTCTTTGGTTGAGTCGGTGGTCTGTTCGGTTAAATCTGCACATTCTGAGTCATATGAAGTGGTAGAAGTACGACTCATTGCCAGGAAAGGTTGTTATTTATAGCAGTAAAGTGTTTCCAACTTAAAAAAAATATATTGGTGTAAAAAGTGGGTCTTACCTTTTAACTATTGCACCCTTTCAGTCATGGTTCCACTCTCAAAGTCCCCTTACATCCATAGATGATTTTTTCACTCAGATTTTAAAAATTACATATAAATAGAATTGAAAATAATCACAGAGTGGCACATGCTTACTCACATGCAGCAATAAATTCATAGCTGGTTAATTTCAGGCAAAAATAACAACTGAGGTAAATCATCTCAACAGCCTCAACTGAAGACATGTGAAAGAAGAGAAGTGATTACCAGGGGTTTGTGTGGTACACTAGGAGAGAATGAAGTACACCAACGAGAGTATACATCTAATTTCCCCTTGCGTTCGAGGAAGTTTTCTATCGTATGCGTATGCTTAGGATTTTCTGTACTTACAGGCCCCCTCCTTCTCCCTCGATCGCATGGGGCAAGTAGCTGTATACTTCTCGTTGGTGCACCCCATCCTCTCCCAAATGTAACTGTGATAAGGCGTGAACGATCGGAACGGCTGCGGAAGAAAACTTTGCCCTGTTTTTGGAGACATTGTTGGGAGAGAAGGGTGTTGTCAAAGGATTTGCAGGGGTTATCACAAAAAATCGATCCTATTTGGCTGGGCTAGACAAAGTATTCAAAAGGTTTGTAAAGGAAGGGGAGTGAGGTAGTACAAAGGAGAGGCGGATAATAAGGAGGAAAAGTAGTAGTAAGGGAGGAGGGAGTAGAAGATGAAGAAGACTGTGGAGGATGAGGAGATAAGAGTGGAGGATGTTAATTCATCATAGGTAATACTTCTCCCCTGTGGCTCGTCCCACCTTCGAAATTACTAATATCCTCCGGATTAAGAACCACCGTGTAGTTTTCTGTGAAACGTCGAAAATGGGAGATAAACTATTTATGGCAGGTAGGTGCTGTTAAATCCTTGGACAGGAGTCTTGACTGTGACATGGAAATCGACACTACATTTCGGCAAGTTTGCACTCTCCTTTTTTATAACACGAGGACACTGTATGCATGTAAGATGGTTGTGTAGTTCGTAGGCGAGCGAGTGCATGTGTACTTCCATTGGCGCCATGGGCAACAGAGATGAAGAGAAAGAAATTATATTCGGTGGTTTCACTCGGTTACTGGTGAGAGAGAAAGAGAAAGAGAGAGAAAAGGAAAAGGGAGAGAGAGAGAGAGAGAGAGAGAGAGAGAGAGAGAGAGAGAGAGAGAGAGAGAGAGAGAGAGAGAGAGAGAGAGAGAGAGAGAGAGAGAGAGAGAAACGGAAGAAATAGAGAGAGAATGACCGAGAGGGAGAGAATGAAAACAAGAAATTGTTCAGTCTGTACCATTAAACTGTGCATACATCGACGCGTGTTCGATGAGAGGTGATGAAAAAATCCCTGTTTATGATGACATAAAATGTATAAAAGGTATTTAAAAGTTATTTATCGACTTGGCAGCCATTATTTATTAGGAATTGGATTTAGATAACACATTGTTCACGGGGCTCCAGAACTTGAATGTGGGATATTCTAATACTCTCCTGGATGTTTTATTCCCCTTTTCGCAGAGGGTTCTAGACTGAACCCATTTTTCTAGGTAATTGTAGGCTGGTACTGTAAAAATCCTGTTTTAAAAACAATAATATACTGATAATCATTTGACAAGGTGTCCTTCCGGTAATATTTTAAAGTCATATTAAGTTTATTTAATACTAATAATTCAGTATCAATAATTTCAGTGATTATACTAAATTATATTTTGAACGTTCTGACCAAATTCGCTAGCAATTAGATAATTCCTTTATTTGACGAATCATTTCGCCTTGAAAGGGTAGCGTAAGGACGGTACGCTATTGCCGCACTTTTATTTCGTAATATCACCAGACGCTTATCACCTTTTCATGGCAATAATTATGTTTTTCATAATTAAACCATAATAAATGTAACATAAAAGTATTACTGCCGGTAATTCATTTCCTTTTATTCTTATTCTAATGTTTTACCTCATTTCGGAAAAAAATATAACCATATATTTGTTGACCTGTTTGAAAAGATGTTATCCCTTCAATGTGCGAAAAGCTTTGTTTCAAATTGTTTCGTTTCAGACTTATTATCATCAAAGTCAGCAAAGAATATTGATTCACCAAGATTGATATGTTCCTATAAATATCATAAAGCATATATATATTCCTATTTCGCAGAAAATTTATGAGAATAGAACAAAATGATAGATGAGTAGCCATCCACTGCGTATGTGACCTTCGCTCATATTCAGAAACACGGTGATTGGCTGACGGCGAAAAATGATGGAAAACGTGCATTTATGCTGCAGCTTTACGGGGTGTCTGGTCCCTCCAAAAGAACGGCTTCAGGCCAAGGGTTCGGACCTGGCCCGAAACCCAGTAAGATCGACTCCCTGGCTCAAGGAGGAAGAACCAATGGCAGACCCAGATGACCTCCTTTTGAAATCCCACCGAGAATACAAGGTTTATGGACGTTAAATGTGTGAATGAAATTAATCACTTTCGAATGTGAACCCTTTCATCATCAAAAAGGGCCATGATGGTCAAGTCAGAAAATTGCGAGTTGAAAGCCTTGTTAAAGTACAAGGTAACTTCCCAGATTAAGGATTTACTTTAGCTGACACAAATTCAGTATCTTAGGAGTTAGTGTAACTATCCATGTCAAAAAACTTTATATATTTGGATTACGTGGGAACATACTTTGTTTAATTCAAATTTCATTTCTAACAGACGTTTCCCTATCTAACTGTTCTCTGACGATGTCACTTTTCCGGACATCTTTTTCCTGGCAAACGGGGTCCTACAAGGAAGTGACTTGTCACCAACATTACTTTTAAATATGATCAATGATATATTACCATCTCCCAATCAGTATCCTAAATGCTCACACAATCTCCCATTCGGAATCTTATATGCTCACATAATCCCCCAATCTTAATCTTAAAGGCTGATGATTGTGCAGTGTGGCATTCCAGCGGTAATGCAGAATTCTCGACAAATAGCATCCAACTGGCACTGGTGGGGTTCTAAGTTTTCCACGAGAAACAGTACTTGGATATTTAATTTCCACATAGGAGGATGCTGAACACCAAGCTAACTCTAGACAATCACCTAATACCTATTCAAAATTCTGCAGAATTTATTGGTCTTCTATTTGATCGTAGACTAACCTGGAAACACCCCTAGTGGTCAGTTAAATAATAAAAGCCGAAGAATACTCGGAAATAAATGGGGAGCTGACAGTCTTTGCTAAGTATGTATAAAGCCTTGATCAAGTCTAAAGATTATGGGCTAGTCGCGTATAGCTTGACAACGAGATCAAATATAAAAGGTTTGGACTACCTCCCTTCCGACTCAGGAACGGCTACCGAGCTCACCTATGCCGCCAAAGAAGCCAGTAAGCCGAATCACCCTAACGGAAATGCTTTGCTTCGGCATTTGCGTTCGGAGGTTCGAGGCGCTCGACCTCACCTCTAGACTCGTCGAGAAAATCGGTATAGAGTTCTCTACTATCGGTACCCTGGTTCATACAAATTTTGTATGACGATAAATAGTTGTGTGAGAGC